CATTGCACCACATTGTTAAGTGAATGGTTAAGCTATAGTTACGCCCACTCCCTCCCAGGACCAACATGGTGCCTGCCAGGGATCCCGAGGGAACGACTGTGCTGGTTACTGTCCTTCCCAAAACAGCACACCAAGCCTTTAAGGTTGATTTTAGCTTGGCGCCAGAATAGCAAACACACATGGTCCCTTTTGGCTCGCCTCCCTCCAGGGGACCCGGGTTGAGCGGCCTAACCTCTTACCAAACACTGCTGCTGCAGACAGCACAGAAATCCAAGCCAGGGCGGGGCTGGCCTTTGCCTCTGCTGGAGCCACTGCGGCAGGAGCTCGGACTGCATAGCCGAGACTCTCAGAGAACCCCGGCCATGGTGCAGGATTGGAGCGCAGACACGAGCCACAGGACAGGGACCCAAGCCTGGGGAGAGCGGAAGCAGCCCGGGGAACCAGGGAAGACCAAGTGGTGTGGCTGTGCGACCATGGCCCCAGGGTGTCCACACACCAGAGCAAGCTGATGCTTTATGCTGGGGCTTGGTTTGGGGGCATAAAGCAGAGAAAATCGGTTGCAACAGTCCTGTCTGGAGTCTGAAAGGGTTTCCAGCTTTGCTAGGAGAGCCCCTATCCTAGCCAATGCACCAGTGTTATTATTAAAAAAAGCATGAGCTGGTCAACTGATATTCTTGGCAAGAGGTTTATTAAGTGGGTATGGAGGAAGTGGGGAGCAGGACATGAAGAGAGAGAAAAGAGAAAGGGCACCCCAAGAGAGTGGGAGAGTGTGAGAGAGAGAGACAGGGAGAGAGAAACAGAGACAGAGAGAGTTTAAGAGAGAAGGAGAGAGAGAGAGACCACGTGTGGGGGTTGGCCCTTTAAAGAGGCAAAGTAACCATGCCTTCCAGGTGCGGCCATCTGGCTGGCGACACATGATGACATCATAAGTTTCTGGATAACCCAGGAGCAGGTTGTGTTCCAAAATACTAACACTGAAGGCAAAAAGAAATCAGTAACTGTTACTGAAGAAATAGTGCTTTGTTATCTTGTGTGTTTTATTTGTTTGGCCAACAAATATTAAGTTGTATGATGCATTAGGCACGACACAGAACACAGATATTATGAAAGCGTTGGAAGCTCTGCCTTCACTGAGTTTGCCTAAGGGGCCGAATGATGAGGGAGAGACTGGCATTTCCTGGAAATCCTCTGAAGTGCAAGGAGAAATACTGTTGAAGAAATAAACACAAAGATAGTTTTCAAAAGAGACAGAGCTCTGAAAGTCATCTTAAGAACAGGAAGTATTGCTAAGTGGGGCAGGAGCAGACTGACGTGAACACAGAAGCAGGGCAGAGTCACAGATGGTGACTGGGCTTGGACAACTGGTGGGGAAAGGTATTGATGTGCTTCCCTGAGGCAGAAGTGCAGGACTAAGGACTTTGGCACTGGTTGTTGAGATTTACCAGCTAATAGGACATCTGAAGGAAGAGCCCAGCAGGTAGAGGTGATGCACACTAGGAAACCCTGGAAGAACTGAGCTAGAGATTGAAGTTTGAGAGTTGTCACCACGTGGGTGGCATTTAAAGCCTGGTGATAGTCAATAGTCCTCCAGAGAAAGGCTTTAGATCAGAGGGAAGTTCTAGGAAAGTCTAGAACTAAACTGAGGAATAAAGAGGTAGAAAAAGCAAGAGTAAGCCAGAAACTCAACTGACAGTAGAGAGCCCCATCAAAGGCTTTCTTTTTTAAACCTCCCCTGTGTCTTCTCAGGTAAAACAGCTTGTGTCCCTCCCTTGGTGCCATGACTACTCTGTCCCTAGAATAAACCCTCTCTCATCCACCATTACAGAGTTCATTTTGCAAATCCAACGGAAAATGCATTGAAACATTCAATGTTAACATTCAGTTAACAAACATCCAGGTCACTAGGAGACCTGTTATAGGAATTCATTTTGGAGATCAATACAGCTATTGTGGAGCAGTTTTTCCCCAGAGGCTCATTGGTTTTCTCTCTTCTACCCTGACAGAAGATGCCCTTTCCAGTATTAGGAGTGCTAGAGAGTAATTAGTGCTATAGAGCATTAATGAGCTGGTGATCCTGCCTTGGGCCATGTGGTGGTACAGCCTAAATAGGTCAGAAAACAGAGAGAAGCTAAAGAACCTTGCCTTTTCTGATTGGATCTGGATAACTCTAGAAAGCAAACATGCCCAAAATATTTCTTCCTACCTAGTATATTACCTGAACTTATACCTTTATTCCTTGAGAATATGTTTCACTATTGTAATTTTTAAATTTTATTTACTTTTTATTAATTACAGTTTATTCACTTTGTATCCGAGCTGTAGTCCCCTCTCTCATCCCCTCCCAATACCAACCTCCCCCCTTCTCTTCCCATGCCCCTCCCCCAATCCAATGATAGGGGAGCTCCTCCTCCCTTTCTATCTGACTCTAGTCTATCTGGCTGCATTGTCTTCCTCTGTGGCCTGATAAGGCTGGTCCCCCCTCAGGGGGAGGTGGATCAAGAGCCAGCCACTGAGTTCATGTCAGAGACAGTCCCTTTTCCCATTGCTAGGGAACCAGTTTGGAGACTGAGCTTCCATTGGCTACATCTGTGCAGGGGTTCTAGGTTATCTCCATGCATGGTCCTTGTTTGGAGTATCAGTCTCAGAAAAGACCCCTGGGCCCAGATTTTTTGGTTCTGTTGCTCTCCTTGTGGAGCTCCTGTCCCCTCCAGGTCTTTCCATCTCTCCCTTCTTTCATAAGATTCTCTGCACTCTGCCCAAAGTTTGGTTATGATTCTCAGCATGTGCTTCGATACCCTGCAGAGTAGAGTCTCTCAGAGTCCCTCTGTGGTAGGCTCCTGTCCTGTTCCCTGTTTTCTCCCTCTTCCAATGTCTATCCCATTTGCCTTTCTGAATGAGGATTGATCATCTTACCCAGTGTCCTCCTTTTTGCTTAGCTTCTTTCGGTGTACAGATTTTAGAATGATTATCCTATATTATATGTCTAATATCCACTTATAAGTGAGTATATACTGTGTGTGTCTTTCTGCTTCTGGGATACCTCACTCAGGATGATCTTTTCTAGATCCCACCATTTGCCTGCAAATTTCATGATTTCCTTGTTTTTTTTTGTTTTGTTTTGTTTTTTAATTAAATTTTTATTTTTTATATTAGTTATGGTTTATTCACTTTGTATCCCAGCTGTAGGCCCCTCCCTCATTTCCTCCCAATCCCACCCTCCCTTCCTCATCTCCTCTCTGCCCCTCTCTAAGTCCACTAATGGGAGTGGTCTTCCTTCCCTTCCATCTGATCCTAGCCCATGTTTCACCATTGTAATTTTTAAATGCAAAAAGGGTTTCTTATATAATCATGGACTGAGATCCTTCTATGTAGAACTTTATTAGGTAAGTGCTGGGACTGTATAAGCAATAATTTCACTGACACAGTTCTTAGAAACCAAGAGCAAGAAAACAGAATGACCATAGATCTAAACGAAGCATGAGATGGAACACGTCAGTGCCCAGAAAGGAAAAACGCATTCAGGAAGGTTTTCGTGGGAATGTAATATCTGCATTGGATCTTGAAGTCTTAGAAGTATAGAGATGAAACCCAGGATGAAGAAACAGCATATGGTGAAACAATTAAAAAAAAAAACAAAAAAAAAAAACAGCTGCTATGCTCAAAGCCTGATGATGCTTCCATCTGCTTTGCTTATGTGTGGAGAGAAAGCAGGAAGTAGGTCAGACTAGGGAAATGTGGACTAAGCTTAGACAGCCAGCCAAATGAATAATGCTCTGGGCTTGGGGTGTAGTACTCTAAGCCTTTATCTGTCCTTACATACCTCACTTGAGTTTGAGATAAGAAGAAACAAAGGAAGACCAGTGGAAAGAGAAAAGTGGGAAATAAAGAATAAAGTTGCCCTTGGAAGATGGGAGAACAGCAGGACCAGCGGGGGTCTGGTCTGAAGAGACAGTTCTGCATTCATTTGTGATTTTATTATTATCACAGAAAGGCACAGTTCTCTACCCTATCCAGTGAATCTTCAGTAAGCAATGTCTCATTTAGCAAAGCCAGAAGCCTTGAGGGAAGTAATAATAGCAGGAACCTGCAATGTTCTACCCGGCTTGGTGCTGGATACCTTGACTAGTGTAACAGGAGAATGAAGAAAGAACAGCCAGCCAGGCATGGTTGTGTACAACTTTAATCCCAGAATTCTGGAGGCAGAGGCAGGCAGATCTCTATGAGTTAGCCTAATATGTCTACATATGAGTTCCAGGTCAACCAGAAACAACATTCGGACATACTGAAAAGCCAGGATCTGATGGGCTGTGCTCATTCTGATGGACACCAGAAACTCAGCTGTACAACACAGGAGGAGAAGTTAGCTAGTCTGGGTAGGAGATCTCCGTAGGAAAACACCCTTAGATTGCAGTTGTCCAGAAGGAGGAAGCTGAGGTTGCTAGTTTTTTCACACACTAGCCAGTTTTGCATACACTGGTCCCTTATTCATAAACAATGTTACATAGACCAGAGGAAGGCCTTGCCATGCCTGTGAGCCTCACCTGAAGGCTTTGCCATTCTTGTGGGTCAGAGTCGCTGGGGTCCTTGACATGGCTGTGGCCATGTCAGCAATACAAACTCATACCAGACCTCATCTGCTCCCCATAGGAGCCACCAACAAGAAGGAAGCATGGTATTCACCCATCGGGAGTCTAGTCTTGCCCCTGGCAGGATCACTGTCCTGGGGGTGGGTAGGTAAACCCCCTGGGGTAGAGCAGACCAGGTCTGGTCATGATAGCCTGGCCTTCAGGCTACTCCTAAGATTTTTGGAGGTGTAACTCATCTCCCATTCAGCCAAGACAGCCATGTGGCCCAACCGTCTTCCCTGGGAGGACAAAGGAAATTAGTGTATAAAGGAGAAAATGCAACAGCCACATTACTTTGTTTTCCTCTGACAACTGTCTTTAGGATAAAGACACCTTCCCTTCCTTATTTCATTCACAGAGCTCTTCTTTTCACAGACTCCCTGAGAAACCTTTCTTCAGCCAGTCATGGCCCCCGCTCTTCTCCAGCTGAGTTCAGCAGTTCCAGTCAGCACCTGCTCCGAGAACGGAAGTCCTCAGCTCCCTCACACTCTAGCCAGCCCACTTTATTCACGTTTGAGCCCCCTGTGTCAAGCCACATGCAGCCTGCCTTGTCCACCAGTGCACCTCAGGAGTATCTCTACTTGCACCAGTGCATAAGCCGAAGGACAGAAAATGCAAGGTAGGAGACCACCATGTGGAAAAATGATTACTTAGGGCCAATTGCTTTTCAGTCCCTGAATTTCAGTTTTAAAGACAACAGAGTAAAAATGTTTATGTTTTTAGGCAAACAAACACAAAGATAACAAAACCTTTTATTGTTTGTATAGCCTTCAAATTTTTCGGTTTAATCTGTATTGCTGCAAAATCACCATTGAATTCCAAAGAAATTATTATCTCATTATCAGCAATCATGTTATAAAAATTTTGTTTGATCTGGGAATAAGAAGCATTAGGGGATAAGGTTTCGGAACTACAGCGTAACAGTCAATTTCTTGCCAGCCTTAAGAGTTCAGCTACAAATCCTTAACACTGCCTAGAGACTCCTGTCTCTCAAATCTATGGCTGTTCTGTTCCTCATAACAACCACCATTCATACGCATATGTATGTATGAATGTAACCTTAAATGTGTTCATGTTATATTAGCTAAGTGAGAAGAATTTTTAAATTCAATCACTCTGTTGTGTCAGTGTATAAATTACTTTTCTTCTACCCAAATTCTAGGAGGAAGGGTCTATTCTGGCTCCTAGTTTAAAAAGGGATACAGTACTGTAGCAAAAAAAGACAGAGTGACAGAAGCCTGGGCATCCAAACCAGGACGCAGAGACAAATACTGATGCATAGCCTGCTTCCTCCTTTAGATTCACTCCAGGACCCCATCCCATGTCATGGTTCCCCTTACACACAGGTTGGGTCTTCTCTCTTCACCATCACAGACAGTGTAAGAAGTGCATTGCTGTGATGATTCTAGATGTGGTCAAGTTGACAACCAAGATTAACCATTACAGCCAGCATACTTCAAGAGCCCATCCATCACCCCCATGTGGTGTGTGGCTATGAGCAGACAGCAGAGAAAGTAATTATATCTATTATCTTAGGAAATTATTATCTAGAACACATTCTAGGTGCAGAACCTACACCTGTTTTTATTAGCTTTGTTCTTGTTATTAGAGCTTTGCCAGAATATGTTCTCAATTAATACCATAGGCAGATTACAAATCATGTTTCTAAATTAATTTAGTAATGTATAGTTCCTGTTTTTAAACCTAAGGCATGGAACCAGGAAGATGGTTCAATAGGTAGAGTCACTTATACAGGTCTAATGACCTGATTTCAATCCCTAGATCCCACAAGGTGGCAGAGGAGAACCAACTTTTATTCTCTGACCTTCATACATGTGCTGTGGCACATGCTTATGCATACACACACACACACACACACACACACACACACACACACACACACACA